TCTTTTTTTGGTGTCGCTCCCCAATTTTTTTGTGTGTGTCCGCGTTCCGTGTTTATGTATTTGGGCTCATCTCGGTCCGTCTTTGCGGAGTGGCGTATGTGTTACTGTTTCTGCCCTTGTTCTGGTGGTTTCATCGTGTTGTTCTTACCTGGTTTTGCCGTGGTTTTTGTGTATCTTTAATTTATTCTCTTTGTCGTTTTCTTTTAGGGCTAATTGATTAGTTTCTTGCTATGCATTCGTTCAGTTCCTTCTGTAATTTATTTGTTCTTTGGGCGTTTGCTTGTGGATTGGTTGGAGGCTTTTTCATTCGATCGCTGGCATTTTCGTTGCACTGCCTGCTCTTTTCATGTTCCGCCGTACCCCCTCTCTGTCCTTCTGCCCTTGGCGTTCGCCCCTCGCATCATTGAAGCCCCTTGCGTCCTGCGCGCCCCTTCTGGTTCTTTCGGGGCCATTGGTACTTTCGACTATCCCGTGCCTTTCAACCGACGTATCTTTTCGCCTGAGTCCGGTGGTTGCGCTCTGTATCGGATTTATTTGTTTTTGCCGCATCTATAACTTGTCGCTCGTCTTGATGCCCCTTCATATCTTCCTCGTTTTCCGTATACGCATTCATTGCTATACTTGGATTGCTCTATTTTACTCACACTCCTATTCAGGGCGTGAACCGAGGAGATTTTCGCTCGGATGGCTTTGGGCTTTGCGCACGCGGTTATCCTTTACCTCTGTTCCTACCGGTCACTGTTCCAGTTTCACTCTGACGTTTACAGCGAGGCTCTCCTTTTTACACGTTTTGTTCTCAGCATGTCTGCTTGGCGCGGCGTGGTTATTGTCCGGGTCTGAACCCCGGACTGTTCGGGGAGTCGTAACGGTCTGTGGTCCTGCAGCTCACGCTGTGCCGGGTGGTTCAAGGGCGGTCCAGGTGACCTTTGCTGCGTGTGTTCTTGGCTGGGGTTGCTTTGTTGGTTCCCGAGTAGTGTTACTGTGTTGCCGCTTTACCTATTCCGAGGCGATTGTCTCCGGTCCAATGGCTCATGCTGTACTGGATTACGTTGCTCTTGTGTACCAGTGGCCTGATCGTCAGTCTTTGTCGATCGTGCCTGCTCTGTATTACGGTGTGTCACGAGTCGTTCTGTTTAGCGCCTTCTGTCGCGATTCGGGGCTGGACTTCGGATCCGAGATCTCTGGGGAGCGGTTGCTCCTGGTTCCTCTCCCGGAATTCTGCGCGTTCTTGGATGGGCTCCTGATTGGTTACTTCTCGCGCAACGGGTTACGAGCATACCATAGCGTACTAACTACGCCTTTCGTTGGTCGCTATCATTGGTGGGTCAGATGCGCTGTTGTACCGCGACGCTGGCTTTTGCTCGAGGTGTCGGTTCGCTGTGATTGATGACTGCACTTCGCCGCGAGTGTTGTCGCCGGGAGTGCGTCTACGTATTCCGGCCGGGTTCACACTCCCAAACCATGAATGTTTGTTCTCCCCCTTTGTCTGGCCCATGTTGACTGTCCACCTCGGCTCGGCCCTCCCTCATTATCGCGAGGGCTCTTATCCATCGGGGTTATTCTAGCGAGTGGCTTTGTCTCTGTCACGTCCCTTCGTTCGTTTTCCTTGTGACTTGGTCGGGATTTTTTCTTGGCGTTAATCAGTGTATGTGGTAATGGTTGTGATCAGGGCCTTCCTTGTCCCGTACGGGGTAACAGCGAGAATTTGTCAAGCTTGTTTCGGGTATATTTTGCTCGACGGCGCGCATCTCCGTCTCCGATCCTGACCGAGAGCGCCGCGATGACCCCCGGCGGCCAGCGTCAGCGGACCTACTTCGCGCATGCCGGATCTCTGCGAGTACGTGTGTGTGGATTCGACCGCTCGTGCCCGGGGTGGCGGGCGCGCCGAGAGGTCATGTTGTGCGGGTCGTTATCGCCTTTCGCGTCTGTCTAAGTGTTCGAAGACCTGTTAATTCTTACTGTTGTGGCGTTGGGTTTATTCTGGCGCAGGTTCGAGCTATGTGGCTGCTTTGCCGCAAACCTCGGCCTACGACCAGGGCCGTGTCGTGCCCCGGCCGCCCTTTCGCCTCTGGCTGACTTTCAGTGATGACCTTTTGTCGTCGTTTTTCCTTCTGTACCTGGGGGCGTACGCGAACGAAAAAGTCATCGCCGGCTGCCCTGCCGGTCGTGCGCTGGCGCATCGCCGCGCCTGCCCCCGCTCCGTCGTCTTCCCGCGTGGTAATCTTTCATCGGAAACCGTCCGGGTGGCGCTGATTCGACCCGGAGGCGGTGGCCGCGCTTTCCGAGATCTGGCGTCGTGCTGCTGCTGTTCGAGATCGTTCTGGATCTGTCGCTCTCCGACGTCTGCGCTGGGGGCGCTCGGTGGTCGTGGCCGGCGGCGCGCAGATGGCCGGCATGCTGGCTGGCGATCGGCCGCCGAACCGCCCTGGACCTGCCGATAGCAGTGCGCTCCTTCTACGGCGCCCTGATCGAAATCTCTCTGTCCCCTTCATCCCTCTTTTGTTGGGCGGTGACGAAGCTGTACGCGGACCGCGGCGAGCTTCGACCGCCGCACGTGGGGATGCGGTTTCGTTCCTGCTGTTTTCAGGACCTCTGCACTCGTTCTCCTTAGGCGCTGCTGCCCGCTGCGGCGGCGACCGCGCGGCCCGCATGGCCCGCGCTGGACCGGTGCTGGGCAGCGTCGGTGCGATGGGCGGCGCTTGTGGTCGGCGGGCGGGTCGCGGTGCGCCTGGACGCTCACGGGTGGGCAGCCGAGGCGCAACCGGATCTCTCACGCTCTGCCGTCGGGTTCTTCGCCATAGGCACCTGCTCTCGTCAGCGCCGCGTTCGGTTTCTCTCTGGCCATCGGTGCGTTTCTCGCGGGCTTGATCATCTCGGATTCTGAGTACGGCCAGCAGCGTCTCCGACTCATTCCGTTCCGCGTGCTGTTCAGCGCGTCTTCTTCACGTCGATCGGCATGCTGCTCGACTGTCGCTGCGTGCAACGGCCGTTGGTGGTCATCGGCGCCCCTGCTGATCGTGTCGTCAAGACCTTGATCGCACCGGAGCCACGGACTCGGGGCCGGCGGTGGAACGGCGCTCCGGGCGGCCTGGGTCTGGCGCAGGTCGGGCGAGTTCTCGTTCGGCTGGCGCGCGGGCCGGGCTCCCACTGGGCCTGTTCGCCGCGAGACTACCAGACGTTCCTGTCGGTGGCCGCCCCTCTCGCTCTGGCGACGCCGTTTTCTCCTCGGTCGGCCGCGCCGTGCGAGTCGGTCGCGATGCGGACCGCAGGCCCCCGAGCAGTCGCGCGAACGGCGGGCGGCGCGGCCGGACGGCGACCAGATGGCCGCCGGTTACCGCGACCCACGCCGTCGTCATCGTCTACGGTCCTGCCGGGACGCTATCTCGGCGCATCTCGGGCGGCGGGGATTCGTTGTCGCGGTCCATGATTCAGAGCCTCGAGCTCGTGTCGTCAGGCCGCGCGCCGACGGGCTGCCGGCCGTCTACGGCGACGGCACGCGGCACGCGCTGCTGGAGCGCGTCCGCGGGGCGGCCCACGCCCGGATCATCGTCTTCGCCATCCCGTCGTCCAGGAGGAGCGGCGCGGCTTGGCCGCGGCCCCGGGCTCGCACTGCCGCTCTCATCTCCCCGTCCCTCCCCCCCACCCCCTCCCCCCCGCCCCCCCCCCGCCCGCCCCCACCCCCCCCCCCACCCCCCCCCCCCCACCGCCCCCCCTCCTCCCCCCCCCCCCCGCCCGCCCCCCCCCCCCCCCCCCCCCCCCCCCCGCTCGACCCGACACCCCCCCCCGCCCCACCCCCAGGATAAAAACCAGGTCGCTCACCCCCTGAAATCAGGACAAACCACCCACCCCACCCCAGCCGCACGCCCCGCAAACCGCCCCCCCAGCGGCCCCGGGCGACCCCCTCCCCCCCCCCCCCCCCCCCTGGCTCCCCCCCCAGCAAAAGCACACCCCCCCCCCATCCCACCCCCCCCGCCACCAGGCACCCCCCCCCCCCCCCCAAAAGCACCCCGCCCCCGCCCCCCACCCCCCCCCCCCCCCACCCCCCCACCCCTCTAACGTCGCGCATAGACCCTCAAGCGGTTTTGGGCGCCGACTCGGTGGTTCGTAGAGAGTTCGAGCGTCGCTGAGTTGTTCAAGCGCGCGCTCGAGGGCTACGAGATTCCGGCCGGCCGGATCGCGCACGAGCTGGACTCGGTACGCAGCGAGCACTACGGGCCCCCCCCCCCCCCCCCCTCCCTTCCGGGACCGCCGCCCCCGACCCTGACGCTGGACGCACTCCAGCACCTCGGCAATCCACGACGCGCTGGGAGCTGGTCGAGGTCGAGGCGGCTCGCCGGCGATCGGGCGAGAACGCCCTTACCCTCGATCTGCGGCGGCGGACCGTCGCGACAGAAAGAAAAAAAAAAAAATCCAGGTGGCGGTGGTGCTGGCCGGTCTCCGATCTAACCGGCGCGACGAGTCTTTCCGCTACGCCCGGCGTATACCGCTGTCCTTGTCGCGACCGGGAGTCTTTGGGCACGGCGGCGCCCTGTTCCGCGCCGTCCTTCCGTGATCCTGGTCGTCCGGATCGGCAGGTGTGGTGTCCTGGCGGTCTGGCCAGGGGTCGTGACTTCGACTCTCTTCCGTGAAGTGCGCGACGTTCCTTGTGGCGACAACCCGGTCACCAGGGAATCGCAATCGACGACCACCATCGGCGGAGGGCTGAATCGAAGCGCGGCGGTTCTCGCATCGGCTCTCGCGGCGGGATGTCGAGTTCAACGCCCCCGAAGGGCCTGAACAGATCGTGGATCGCCGTGCCCAGGTTCGTTACCGGCGCCGCGGGTTCACGGTCGAGTGCTACGCGCAGAATGACCCGAGCTTCCTCCTCCATCGAGCGGCCGTTCTCGGCGGCGCGAACCCGCAGCCTGCGCTTCAAGCGATCGTCGAGCCTTCTTATCGTGATGCTCGCCACGACTTGCCTTCACCCATCGCGTAGAGTGCAATCGATGATTGCATTGCTATCAATGACCGGCGCCGGTTGCGTTTCGCTCCTCCTTCATCGCCTCCCATTCGTCCAGCGACCGCGGCCAGTCGCTCTTCAGCAAGCGCGACATGGCGCGGTCGGCGAGCAGCTTCCCCCCGGTCTGGCAGGGGGGGCAGTAGTTCGACTCGTTGCTGGCGTAGACGATGCGCTGGACGAGCGAGCCGCAGGTGGGACACGGCATGCCATACTGGCCGTGGACGGCCATTTGGGGATGGAATGCCGTCACCTGTTCCGGGAACCGGTCGCCGGTCTCGCGCCGCAGCCGCGCGGTCCAGGCGCGCAGCGTCGACTGCGTCTCCTCGTGCAGCCGGGCGATCTCCGACGCGGTCAGGCGCCCCGTCAGCTTCAGCGGCGACAGGCTTGCCGCGTGCAGAATCTCGTCGGAGTAGGCGTTGCCGATGCCCGAGAAAAGGCGCGGATCGGTGAGGCTCCGCTTGAGCGTGTGATTCTCGCGGAGGAGCGCGTCACGGAAGGGCGGGTCAGGTCGGCGGCGAGGACGTCGATGCCGCCGCGGTCGTGCGCCCGCAGGCCGTCGCGGCCGGCGACCAGGTGCAACGCTGCGCGCTTGATGGAGCCGGCTTCGGTCAACAACAGCGTTCCGTTGGCGAAGTCGAACGCCGCGAGGCCGAGCTTCCGCGGGATTCAGGTCCCGAGGTCGCGCCACCGCAGGCGGCCGGCGATCATCAGGTGCAGGACAAGGAAGAGGTCCTCGGACAGCCCGATGACGACTCGCTTGCCGAGCCTTTCCACGCTGTGGACCGTCCGGCCTTCCGCGCTGTCGAGCGGCGGGGCGACCGAGCGGAGCACGAACGGTCGCAGCAGCCGGATGCGCTCGATCCGCTCTCCGATGACCCGCTCGGCCAGGCACGCGACGTAGACCTCGACGTCCGGAAGCTCCGGCATACCCGCAGTGTATGATGCTCGCGCGAATCGCTATGGAGTATCGGATCCGTGAGTACGGGTTGCAACAGGGCGCGCTCGAAATCGAGTACATCGAGGAGTACTTCGGCGAGTTCCCGAGCAAGAAGACGGCTACCGAAGTGGTCCGGCGACTGGACGAGCGCGACCATCAGATCCTGATGGCGGAGGCGCCGCTGCCGGACGATCCCTCGACGGTCGTGCCGGTCGCCTACAAGGTCTCGCACGAGGTCCGGGCGCACGACACCGAGCCGAAGCTGGCCGACCTGGTCGCGCGGCTGCGGCCGTCGGTCGAGTTCGAGGATCGCAAGGTGCTCTACAACTGGCTCGGCGGCACGCGCCGCGACTGGCGCGCCGGGGCTTCTTCCGCGCCCTGACCGAGGAGCAGGAGGCGTGGGCCCACGACAACGGGTTCAGCGAGATCGTCGTCAAGACGAAGAACTGCTTCTACGACATGCGGAGCACCCTCGACCAGCTCGAGTTCAACGTGATCAAGTTCGAGCCGGACGCAACGACAACCGCGAGTCCAAGGTCTATCTGAGCAAGCAGATCGGCCTGGAGGTGCTCGACCGGCACCGCAGCCGACGGCAGGTGGTCCGGTCGGCGTAGCGGTGGCGATCGAGCGCGTTCGAGTCGCAGCGGTCGACGATCCCCGCCTGGACGACTTCCGCGTCGTCTCCGACCCGGCGCTGATGCGCGACCGCGGGCTCTTCGTCGCGGAAGGGCGGCTGGCGGTGGAGCGCCTCCTGGCGTCCCGTTTCCGCACGCGGGCGCTGTTGGTGATCGACGGCGCACTGGAAGGGCTGGAACCGGCCCTGGCCGCCGGCAGGGGCGAACGCGAGCTCGACGTCTACGTCGCCGACTCCGCGCAGTTGCGGCTCGTCACCGGCTTCCGGTTCCACCGCGGCTGCCTGGCGCTGGGGGAGCGTCCCGCGCTCGGGGAGGATGATCCCCGACTGTCGCCGGTTGCGCCGGGAAGCCCGCTCGTGGTGCTCGAGGGCGTATCGGATCCGGACAACGTCGGGTCGATCTTCCGCAATGCCGCGGCGTTCGGTGCGGCCGGGATAGTGCTGTCGCCGACCTGCGCGGACCCGCTCTACCGCAAGGCGATCCGCACGTCGATGGGGACGACCCTGCAGCTTCCGTTTCGGGTGGTCCGGGCGGGCGAGTGGCCGGGCATCCTCGAGCGGATCCGAGAAGCGGGAGCCCGCGTCGTCGCCCTCACCCCGCTGCAACCCGCGACCGAGATCGAGGCGTTCGTGCGCCGCGGTTGCGAAGCGGGGGTCGCTCTGCTATTCGGCAACGAAGGAGACGGCGTGAGCCGGACGGCGCTCGACCGGTGTGACGAGCGGGTCAGGATCGACATCGCCCCGGCCGTGGACTCGTTGAACGTGGCGCACGCGGCCGCTATCGTTCTGCAGCGGATCCGCGCCGTCAGTCGGCCATGAGCCGCACCTCGCGATGGCGAAAGCAGCCGACCAGGTGGTCGTTGACCATGCCGGTTGCCTGCATGTGGGCGTAGCAGATCGTCGGGCCGACGAACGTGAATCCCCTCTTGCGGAGGTCCTTGCTCAGCGCGTTCGAAACAGGCGTCTGCGCCGGGACCTCCTCGTGCGTCGTCCAGGCGTTCCGCATCGGCCGGCCGTCGACGAACCGCCAGACGTACTCGTCGAAGCTGCCGAACTGCTCCTGCACGTCGAGGAACGCGCGGGCATTGTTGATGGCCGAGGCGATCTTCAGACGGTTCCGGATGATCCCGGCGTCGGCCAGCAGGCGCTCCACGTCACGCGGCCCGTAGCGCGCCACCGCCCGCGGGTCGAACCGGTCGAAGGCGCTGCGGTACCCCTCCCGCCGGCGGAGGATCGTCAGCCAGCTCAGTCCGCCTGCGCGCCTTCAGCACCAGCATCTCGAAGAGGCGCCGGTCGTCGTGCAGCGGCACTCCCCATTCCTCGTCGTGGTACGGGCGGTACAGCGGGTCGGACCCGGCCCACGGGCAGCGGGTCGGCGATTGCGGGATCATGGAGCGGCCGGCGTCTCGCCGCGGGCGAGCCGGTCTCGGGCCTCCTCGACCGCCCGGTGAAACACGAAGAGCGCGTCCGCGTTCTCCTGGCCGTCGGTGAAGTTGTAGGTCCGTCCGCCGCGGACCTTGAGCCGGAGATTGTGCGCCACGTAGTCGACCGCGAACTCTTCGAGTCCGTCGAGCCCGACCTCGAACGCGTCGTCGTCGCCGGTCCGATAGGCGATCCCGCGCGTCGTGGCCACCAGGTGCCCCTCGCACTCGCCGAAGCGGTGCTTGTGGACGACGGCTACGCGCTGGTCCAGGCGCACCTGCCGGAAGCGCACGTCGACGCTCGTCAGGTCGCCGTCGATCTCCACGTCTTCGGCATGGCCCTCGTAGCCCGGGGCCGAGACGTTGATGCGGCGGCGTCCGGGCTCGACCTCGTACGACTCGAACGGCGTCGTCCCGGCGTAGCGGCGGTCGATGAAGACCTCGGCGCCCTCGACGTCGCTGGTCACCCGCAGGACGATCGCGGGCGGGGGCGGCGGCCGGCTCGGGTTCGGGTTCCGGCTCGGGTTCGGGTTCGGGCTCCGGCTCCGGCTCCGGCGCAAGTGTTTCGGCCGGTGCGCTCTCCGGTGCGGCGGGGGCAGCGGGTGCAGGGACGCGACGTCCGCGGCGTCTCCACCGCCGCGCGGCGCTCGCCGTCGTCGAGCGGCGTCTGAAACCGCGACAGGTACAGGTAGTAGCCCGCGCCGGCGGCCAGGCCGAGTACGATCAGGACGTACAGCCATCCCCGGCGCGAGCGGGGCGGTGGCTCGGGTTCGTTCAGCAGAGGCATCCGATCATGCTATTAGATCGGTGCGAGACGTGCAGCCGAGGTGTGCAGATGAAATCTGGTGCAGTGCTCACACTGCTGGTCTGGCTGGCGGCGGCGGTTCCGGCGCTGGCCGCGCAGGCCGGCGAACCGTTCGTCACCCCGCTCACGCTCGAGGAGATGAGCGGCAAGCAGGCGGTCTTCGAGACCGATCTCGGTGCAATCGCCATCGATCTCCACCCCGATCTTGCACCCAATCACGTCGGGCTGGTGATGCAGCTCGCCGGGGAGGGCCATTTCGACGGCTCGACGTTCCATCGCATGGTGCGCAACGGCATCGTCCAGGGCGGCGACCCGTTCACGAGCGATCCGGAGCGGGCCGCGGAGTACGGCCGGGGCGGTCTCGGGCTGGTCGACGCCGAGCTCAGCGCTGCCCGGCACGTGCGGGGCACGGTCTCGGCGGTGCTCGTGCCCGGACAGCCGGGGAGCGGCGGGTCGCAGTTCTTCATCTGCATCGTCGATCAGCCGGGGCTCGACGGCCAGCATTCCATCTGGGGCCAGGTCGCCGACGGCATGGACGTCGTCACGCGGATCTCCGAGACCCCGGTCGACGCCGAGGGGCGCGCCGCCGAGCGCGTCGTCGTGCGCCGGGTGACGATTCGCGACAAGCCGCCGCCCGAGATTCCTCCGTTCACCACCGAGACCGACGCGGAGCTGGCCGCCTTCCGGGCGGTGCTAGACACCACCCACGGCCGTATCGCGATCGACATGTATCCGGACCGCGCCCCGAACCACGTCCGCAACTTCCTCCGGCTCGCAGACGCCGGCGTCTACGACGGCATCGCCTTCCACCGGGTCGTACCCGGTTTCGTCATCCAGAGCGGCCACCTGCCGACCCGCCGCCAGCCGCTCACCGACCGCCAGCAGCGCTTCGTGCAGAACCTGCAGCCGGAGTTCAACGACACGCGGCACGTGCGCGGCATCGTCTCGATGGCGCGGCTCGACGACCCGGCGAGCGCGTCTACGTCGTTCTTCATCGTGACGGCCGCAGCTTCGGCGCTCGACGGCGTCTACAGCGTGTTCGGCGTGGTCGTGGAGGGTCTCGACGTGGTCGACCGGATCGAGGCGGTGGCGACGGAGGGGGAGACCCCGGTCGAACGGGTGGAGATCGTCGACGCGGAGGTGGTGCGCCGGTAGCGAACAGGCGGCTCCTGCGGTCCGCCGGGTCAACCCTCGTCGTCGCGAGGCGAGGTCAGGATGTGGCCGCCAGCAGATCCCGCGCGAGCTTCTCGTACAGGTCGACTGCCTGCACCAGCTCGTCGAGCTTCACGTGCTCTTCCGCCGTGTGGGCCACGTGAATGGATCCGGGGCCGACCAGCAGCGGCTGTCCCCACGACGTCAGGAACGGGATGTCGGTGGTGAACGAGAAGGCGGCGGTATCGAAGCCGGGCAGGGTTGTCAGGCGGACCGGCGGCACCACCATCACGTCTTCGATCGACACCGAGCCGGGCAGCGACGCGTCGAGCCGCTCGCGGACGCGCGGCGCCGGCTCGACGGTCCTGAAGTTGACGTCCGCCTCCGCGCCGGGCGGCACCACGTTGGGGGCCACGCCCCCCGACAGCACGCCGACCGTGTAGGTGGTGGCGCCGAGCACCGGGTCGACCGGGAGATCGAGGTCCCGCAGCGCGATCAGAGCGTCGAGCAGCTTCTCGATTGCCGAGTCGCCCAGCTCCGGGTAGGCGGAGTGGACCGCGCGTCCGGTGGCCGAGAGCCGGACGCGGTAGGCGCCCTTCGTGGCGGCGCCGAGGCGGTTGTCGGTCGGCTCGCCGTTGATCAGGTACCGGCAGCGGTTCGAGAGCCGGTTGGCGGCGCGGGCGCCGTGGCTGCCGTTCTCCTCGCCGACCACGACGAGCAGGCCGACGCGGGTCTCGCCGGCGTCGCGAAGCCTGTCGAGGGCCATGATCTCGGTCGCCAGGATCCCCTTGGCGTCGCAGGCGCCCCGGCCGTACAGCGTGTCGCCCTCGACCCTGCTCGGAAAAAAGGGCGGGACGCAATCGATGTGCGTCGAATAGACGATCTCGGGTTCCGTCGCACCGACGGTGGCGATGACGTTGACCCGGTCGTCGACGACCGGCTGCTCGGTGACCGTGTAGCCCCGCTCGCGCAGGCAGCGCGCGAGCCACGTCGTCACCGCGGCTTCGCTGCCGCTGGTCGAGTCGATGTCGATGAGGTTGCGGGCGAGGTCGACGAGCGGTGCGGCTACCGGATCCATGCTTCCAGCTCCGTTCGCGTGTCCGTGCGGTCGTCGCGGTATTTGACGATGACCGGCGTGGCGAGCGACAGCCCCCAGTCGGGTCCCGCGCCGCTGGTGACGGCGCGCGCCCCGGGGACGACGACCGCGCCTTCCGGCACCACCGTCGGCTCGCCCGCGACCGGCTTGATGATCCGTCCCTGCGGCAGATCGTAGATCGGCGTCGACCCGGTCAGCACCGTGCCGGCGCCGAGGACGGCCCGGCGCTTGACCACGGCGCCCTCGTAGAGGCCGGTGTTGCCGCCGATCAGCGCGTCGTCCTCCACGATGACCGGCAGCGCGCCGACCGGTTCGAGCACCCCGCCGATCTGCGCTCCGGCGCTGACGTGCACGCCGCTGCCGACCTGTGCGCAGGAGCCGACGAGCGCGTGGGATCGATCAGGCTGCCGTCCCCGACGTAGGCGCCGATGTTGATGTACATCGGCGGCATGCAGATGACGCCGCGGCCGAGATACGCGCCGTCGCGCACCGACGAGCCGCCCGGCACGAGCCGTACGTTCGAGGCGGTGGAGAGTGGGCGGAGCGGAAGCGTGTCCTTGTCGAGCCAGGGCGAGTCCGCGCTGGGGGAGTCGAACGCCACGACGTCGCCGCAGCGGAACCCGACCAGGATGCCCTGCTTGACCCATGCGTTGACGCGCCAGCCGGTCGGCGACGACGGGTCGGGCTCGGCCGCGCGCACGCGGCCGGCGGAGAGTTCCGTTCTGAGCGCCGCGAACGCGGCGCGCGCCTCGTCACGGTCCGCCTCGGCCGCCTGGGCGTAGAGCTGCTGTATCTGTTCGGCGAGTTCCATATGGGGGTTCAACTCCAAGAGACTGATCCGCGCTCGGGATACTCCCGAACCCGGAGCGTGCCGGCTTGGCGCCTCCGGCTGTCATGTGCCGGCGAGCGAAGCCTGCCGCTGCCGCGCCGGGGGGCTGCCGGCCCTGGACAGCCCGGTCGCGGCCAGCACGTCGACGATGCGCGCGTGGGCGGCGGCGGCCGGGGGCGTCAGCGGCAGACGGTAGTTCGGGTCGAGGAGCCCGAGCTCGGCCATGGCGGCCTTGACCGGGATCGGATTCGACTCGACGAAGTTCACCTGCATCAGCGGCAGCAGCCGCTCGTGGGTGGCGCGCGCCGCCGTGAAGTCCCCCGCCGCGGCCTGGTCGACTAGTGCCGCCATCCGGGAGGGGGCTTCGTTCGAGACGACCGAGATCACCCCGGTGCCGCCGAGCGCCATCACCGCCAGCGTGAATGCGTCGTCGCCCGAGAGCACGCAGAAGTCGTCCGGTACCGCGCGGCAGATCTCGCACATCTGTCCGAGGTCTCCCGAGGCCTCTTTCACCGCGACGACGTTGGCAATCTCCGCGAGCCGGAGGAGCGTGGCCGGGGCGATGTTGCAGGCGGTCCGTCCCGGCACGTTGTAGACCACGATCGGCAGGTCGGTGCCGTCGGCGATGGCGCCGTAGTGCCGGAAGAGTCCCTCCGGCGTCGGCTTGTTGTAGTACGGCGTGACCGAGAGGATCCCCGTCGCCCCGGCGCTCGCCAGGTCGCGGACCAGTTCGATGACGGCCCGCGTGTCGTAGCCCCCCGCTCCCGCCAGGACCGGAACGGCGCCGTTCGCCTCATCGACGACGAGCTCGACGACGCGGAGCTTCTCGGCGTGCGACAGCGTGGGGCTCTCGCCCGTCGTCCCGCAGGGGACCAGGAAGTGCACGCCGCCCGCGATCTGCCGCCGCGCCAGCCGCCTGACCGCCGCCTCGTCCACGTCGCCGTTCCCCCGTGAACGGCGTGACGAGGGCCGTGCCGCAACCCGCCCAGCGTGTCTGCATGGCGCTCCCCTCGATCAGTCGATACCGAGCACGTCGCGCATCGTGAACCAGCCGCGCCTGCCGCGCACCCAGCGTGCCGCCTCCAGCGCGCCCCGCGCGAACGTCGACCGGTCGCGGGCCGTGTGGGTCAGCGTAATCGTGTCGAACGGGCCGTCGTACCCTACGGTGTGCGTACCCGGCATCCTGCCGGCGCGCGTGGAGGAGACGTCGATGCTGCGCGCATAGCCCGCCCACTCCATCGCCGTCCGAAGCGCCAGCGCGGTGCCGGACGGGGCGTCCTGCTTGGCGGCGTGGTGCCCCTCGTGGATCCAGCTCCCGAAGTCCTCGTAGGGCGCAAGGAGGGCCGCGCTCCGCTCCACGACGGCCAGGAACAGGTTGACGCCGAGCGAGAAGTTCGCCGCGTGCACCACGCCGATCCCGGCCTTTTCCACGACCTGCCGGACCTCCGCTTCCCGGTCTTCCCAGCCGGTGGTGCCGACGACGACGTTGATGCCGCGAGCGGCCAGCTTCTCGACGTTGGAAGCGACCGAATCGGCCAGCGAGAACTCGATCGCCACGTCGGCATCGGCCAGCGACGGTGAATCGATGCCCTCGCCGTGACGGTTGTTGTGGACGTCCAGGCGTTCGACCACCTGGCAGTCGTGCTCGGTGCTCAGCGCGTCTATCGCCCTGCCCATCCGGCCGTAGCCGACCAGGACAATCCGCACGCTCATGGCGCCACTGCTTCCCCGGACGCGGCCTCTTCAGCGTCGTTCGCGACTCTGCGGATCAGCGACGCGCCCCTTCTGCGCTCGGCCGGCGTCCGGAATCCGAGGAGCGCGGAGTACCGCTCGCCGGCAATCTGCGCCGAGAGAAACCGCAGGCTGATGCCGGCCCACGCGATGCTGTTGGCCACGGCGTAGGCGAGACCGGGGCCGGTTGACGCCTTCGACGAGCAGGGCCTCGATGGGGGACTGGCTGAAGCCGGCCGCCCGCGCAAGGGCCGTCGCCCTGCGGCCGGCGCCGGGCAGGACGGGCGCGGGACGCGGCTGGGACCGGTTCATGCGACACGAATTATACTCGCGCGCCGGGCCCCGCCGGCTCGGACGCGACGTCACCCGGCGTCGTGGCGCGTTGCGACAGCCAGGAGCATGCAGATGGCGATTCCCGAAACCATGAGCGTCGTCGACATCACCGAGCCCGGTCCGCCCGAGGCGCTGCAGATCGGGACCCGGTCGGTACCTGTCCCCGGCGCGGGTGAGGTGCTGATCCGGGTCGCGGCGGCCGGCGTCAACCGTGCCGACACGATGCAGCGCAAGGGGAACTACCCGCCGCCCCGGGGCGCGTCGGACATTCCGGGGCTGGAGGTGTCGGGAACCCTCGCGGCGGTGGGGGAGCGGGTCTCCGGTCTGGCCGTGGGCGACGAGGTGTGCGCGCTGCTCACCGGCGGCGGCTACGCCGAGTACTGCCTCGCGCCGGCGCCCCAGTGTCTGCCGATCCCCTCGGGGTGTGTCGTTGATCGAGGCGGCGGCGCTGCCGGAGGCGTACGCCACCGTCTGGACCAACGTCATGGATCGCGGCCGATTGCAGGCAGGCGAGTCACTGCTCGTGCACGGTGGATCGAGCGGCATCGGCACGGTGGCCATTCAGCTCGCCAAGCTGTTCGGGGCGCACATCTTCGCGACCGCCGGGACGCCGGCCAAGTGCGCGGCCTGCGTCGAGCTCGGGGCCGAGCGCGCCATCGACTACCGCGCGGACGACTTCGTGGCCGTTCTGCACGAGGCGACGGGGGGCCGGGGCGTCGACGTCATTCTGGACATGATCGGCGGCGCCTACCTGCCGCGCAACGTCGCCAGCCTGGCGATCGAGGGCCGCCTGGTGATCATCGCCCTCATGGAGGGGGCGAAGGCGGAGCTCGACCTCGCCCGGCTGATGTCGCGCCGACTGACCGTGACCGGGGCGACGCTGCGCGCGCGTTCCATCGAGCAGAAGGCGGAGATCATGCTGGCGCTCCGGGCCCGCGTCTGGCCGCGGTTCGCCTCCAACGAGCTCCGGCCGATCGTACACGCCACCTACCCGCTGGCCGACGCGGCCGAGGCGCACCGGGTCATGGAGTCGAGCGTCCACACGGGAAAGCTGCTGCTGATTCCGTAGGTCCTCGCGGGCTTGGCCGCCGACCGGTCACCCGCCGCCGAAGACGCGGTCGAAGTTGTCGGCGAGGACGGCCTTGCGGCCCTGTGCGTCCAAGCCGATCTCGTCGAGCGCGGCGCACTGCGCCTCGTGAATCGGCTGCTGCCAGCCCCGCGGGAAGAAGGACGAGTCCGATCCGAACAGGATGCGCTCCGGGCCCAGCACCGCCAGCGCCTGGCGGAACACGTCGGTCAGTGTCAGGCCGGGGGTGTACCTGGTCCAGGCGTTCGAGCTGGAGGTGTCGACGTGGATGTTCGCAGCGAGGTCGGCCGCCATCAGCGTCTCGCGGAGGAAGCCCGCCCCGAAGTGCGGGATGACCACCGGGACGCCAGGGAAAGCGGACGCGACCTGCGCGAGAGCGAGCGGATCGCCGAGGCGGACGTCGAACCGCGACGGCAGACCGAGCTTGCGGCGGACGCCGACCGACAGCATCCCGCAGTGGACGAAGACGGCGCATCCACGGTCCGCCGCCGCACGAAAGACCGCCGTGACGCCGTCGTCGTCGAGGGCGAAGCGGTGCATCGCCGGGAAGAGGCAGGCGCAGCGGAGGCCGTGCTCGCCGAATCCCTGCCGGACGCGGGCCTCGGCGCCGGGAGCCGTCGGATTCACCATGAACAGGCCGGCGAAGCGGGACGGGTGCCGCGCCACCGCGGCGGCGACGGACGCCTCGTCGCCGGGGACGCTGGCCATGATGGCGGCCCGCCCCACGCCGTGACGGTCGAGCTCCGCGATCCACCGATCCGCGAGTCGAGCCGGATCGCCCGGTGGCTCCCAGCCCAGCGCGGACGGTAGATCGACGGCCGGGTCCGTCACCCGCGGGGCCGCCGGATCCCGGCCCAACGCGGCGAAGAATCCCGCGGAGAAGAAAGTGGCAGTGCGCATCGTTCAGGCACGTCGCGTCCGGTTCGGTCATCCTGTCCTCGCCGTCGCCGGTGACGGGTTTCGCCCCGGGCCGTGCGGCAGTATACTGGCCGCGGAGTCGAGATCATGGCAGCAGCCAAGGCCGGCCGGAACGACCCCTGTCCGTGCGGAAGCGGGCGCAAGTACAAGCAGTGCTGCGCCGTCAAGCAGGACGGTGGATCGAAGTTCGGCACCTACGCGCTCATCGCGGTCCTCGTAGCGATCGCGGGAGTCATCGTCTACACCTTCACCGCCGACGCCGGAGCCGGCTCGCGGCAGGTGTGGGACCCGGTGCACGGCCACTACCACACGGTGCCCTGAACCGGTGGGGACCACGGCGTGACGCCGCCGGCCCGCGCGGGCTGACGCCACGGCGGGTGCAGTGTGTCCGGACCGCCGTCTCGGAGCCGCGGGCATCACGAGACGACCATGGAATACGTCAACCTCGGCCGCACCGGCCTGCGCGTCTCGCGCCTCTGCCTCGGCACGATGACCTTCGGGTCGCCCGCGTGGCGCCCCTGGATACTGCCCGAGGACGCCAGCCGCCCGTTCATCCGGCGCGCGCTCGACGCGGGAATCAACTTCTTCGACACCGCCGACATGTACTCCCGCGGCGTCAGCGAGGAGATCGTCGGCCGCGCTCTCGACGACTTCACCACACGCGACCAGGCGGTGATCGCCACCAAGGCGTTCTTTCCGATGGGCGACGGGCCGAACGATCGCGGCCTGTCCCGCAAGCACCTGTTCGATGCCATCGACGCCTCGCTCAGGCGGCTCGCGGGACGGACTACGTCGACCTCTACCAGATCCACCGGTTCGATTCGCACACCCCGATCGAGGAGACCCTGGAGGCGCTCGACGCCATCGTCCGCGCCGGCAAGGCGCGCTACATCGGCGCGTCGAGCATGTACGCCTGGCAGTTCGCGCAGATGCTGCAGGTCTCCGAACGGCGCGGCTGGGCGCGTTTCGTGTCGATGCAGACCACTACAACCTCGTCTACCGCGAGGAAGAGCGCGAGATGCTTCCCTTGTGCCGCGCCGAGGGCATTGGCGTCATTCCGTGGAGCCCCCTGGCGCGCGGGTTCCTGGCCGGGAACCGCGAGCGGGCGACCGGTTCGGAGGACAAGAGAGGGCGGCGACACGCTGCGCGCGCAGACCGACGAGTACGCCCAGTCGCTCTACTACGCCGACGCGGACTTCCGTGTCGTCGACCGGGTCGTCGAGCTCGCCCGCCGGCACGGAGGGTGACGCCGGCGCAGATAGCCTCGCCTGGATCCTTCGCCAGCCGGGCGTGACCGCCCCGATCATCGGGGTGACGAAGATCGAGCAGCTCGACGAGGCTGTCGCGGCCTCGACGTGGCGCTCGACGGCGACGACGCCGCTTCGGCTCGAGGAGCCGTACGTGCCGCACCCGGTCCTGGGGCACCAGTAGCCGCCGTTGTGGACCCGTGTCGTAGCGGGCGAGATGGCGTCAACCGACCAGCCTCTACGCCGAGCCCCGCGCAAGCCGGTCCATCCCGGCCTCGTAGATCGCCCGCACCTGCCCCGTGACCTCGCGGTACCGCGCCAGCAGGTCGGCTCCGGACATCGCTCCGCCGCCGTCGCGCAGTCGTCTCGCCGCGTCGTGGTCGGTCTCGGATGCGCCGCCGCGCCGGTGTCGTGTGTGATGACGCAGCATCGGTCCCTCGCATCTCGCGCAGGAACCAGTAGGCGTCGCGGAGCGTGTCGGCCTCCACCGGGCGCAGGAAATCGGTCTCGGGCAGGGTCTCGAGCAGCCAGCGGGTGCCGGCGACGCGGAAGTCCGTGCGGGTTGACCCCTCCCGAATCTGCAGCACCTGCAGCAGGAAGTCGATGTCGGCAAGGCCGCCGCGGCCCCGCTTCAGGTCCAGATGGTCGCCGGCCGCCTCGCGGGCCAGCTCGCGCTCGATGCGGGAGCGGACTGGGCAGGGCGTAGCGCGAGTGTCCGACGGCTCCCACGGCCGTGTACGAGGCGTCGACACGTCTCGCGCGTCACCTCGGCGTCATGCGGCCGGCACTCGCCGCCGACGTGGCGGCAACGCGTCCACGCCATGCGCTCCCATGTCTCGGCCCGTTCCCGCCAGGTTGCGCTGCAGGCCGGAAGTGGATCGCGAGCCGCTGCTTGCCTCGGTTTCGGCACGCCGCGTGTCGCTCTCGTACTGCCGACGGTCGCGTCCTCCTGGTCCTCTTTGTGCGCTAGGTCCTGTCTGCTCTGCCGCCGACTGTCTGGTGCGCTGGACCGGCCCGCGTCGGTCGTCTCGCCGGCGTAGACGAAGACCAGGTCGAGATCCGAGTGCACGGTCAGCTCGCGGCTGCCGAGCTTGCCGAGGGCGAAGACGGTCCAGCCGGCGTCCGGGTCCGACGCGTCCCGGGTGGGCGGAAGGTCGCTGCGCAACGCACCGCTCGCGCGGCCTCGATGGCGCAGTCGGCGACGAGCGACAGCTTGTCGTTCAGCAGGTCGAGGCGCCGGCCGACAAGCCACTCGGCGAGCACCTTGAACTCTTCGATCGCCTTGATGCGACGGAAGGGATCGAAGCGCGACGGGAGGTCGGCGCCGTTTGCGATCACCTCGTCGAAGGCGCAACGACCGCGGCGCGAAAGGCATCCCGATCCAGATCCACGGCGGTCAGGAAATCGAGCAGCTCGGGGTAGGCGGCGAGCCGCGCGGCGAACAGGTCGCCGGCGTCGAGGCCGATCAGCAGTCGGCGCCGCAGCTCGTCGTCCTCGAGCAGCGTGCGATACAGCGCGGCGGGCGCCCCGGCACGGGCGACGGCCTTCTCGAGGCGGATCAGGACCTGTCCCGTGCGCGGACAACGGCGTCTCGCTCGAGAGGACTGACGCCAGCAGGTTCGCCAGGAGATTGCGCGAGGACGACCGGCCCTGCGACGGCGCCGCGTCCAGCGCCTTGATCGCCTGCAGCGCCCCGTCCGGGTTCTCCACGCGCCGGCCTCCGCGAGCCGTGCGCGTCCCTGCTCGTCGTCGTCGATCTCGCCGGCCAGCAGGCGGAACAGCTCGCGCCCGGCCAGCCCTTCCTCGCCCGTCTCGTCGTGAACAGGTTGGCGTAGATGGCGTGCACGCGATCCCGGTGGCGGTCGAGCACGGCGGTGAGCGTCTCGATCTCGTCGAAACCGAGCCGCCGCGCCAGCGCCCGCAGGCCGCGCGCGCTGGCCGAGAGGCTGTGCGTCTGCTGGCCCTCGGCCGCCTGCAGCCCGTGCTCGATGTTGCGCAGGAAAATGTAGGCGGTCGAGAGATCTTCCTGGACGTCGGTCTCGATGAAGTCGAGGGCGCCGAGCTGGTCCAGGGCGGTCAGCGTGTGGCCGGTCCGCAGGGTTGGCCGGTCGCCGCCGTAGATCAACTGGAACACCTGCGCGAACAGCTCCACCTCGCGGATGCCGCCGCGGCCCTCCTTGATGTTGACGTCGAGGTCCCCATGGCGGGCATGTTCCCTGTCGGCCCGCGCCTTGTAGCGCGCGAGCTCCTCGATGGCGGCGTGATCGAGGTACTTGCGGTAGACGAACGGCGTGACCATGTCGACGAACCGCCGTCCGAGGTCCAGGTCGCCGCGATGGCCCGCGCCTTGAGGAGCGCGAACCGCTCGAACGTCCTCCCGAGGCTCTCGTAGTACTGCGCCGACTGCTTCAGGGAATAGACGAGATTGCCGCCCTGGCCCATCGGCCGCAGGCGCATGTCGACGCGGTAGAGATAGCCCTCGGCGGTGTGGTCGGACAGCAGGCTGGTGAGACGCCGCCCCAGCTTCTGGTAGCGTCCATGGGCCGCGCCGGCTTCCTCGTCGGAGGCGTCGTAGACGTAGATCAGGTCGATGTCGGAGCTGTAGTTGAGGTCGCCGCCGCCGAGCTTGCCCATGCCGATGACGGCGAACCGTCCGGGGAGCGGACCCAGCTTGACGGTGGCCTCCGCCGCCGCGATGCGCAGGGTGCGGTCGACGATCGTGTCGGCCAGGTTGGACAACTGCGTGGTGGTCGTCGTCAGCGACTCCCGGTTCAGCATCCGGAACAGATCGCGCGCCGCCACGCCCAGCATCTCCCGCCGCTGGAAGCGCTTCAGCACGTTCACCTGCTGCTCGACGCCCTGCGCGTTGTCCAGCAGACGGTCCAGCTCGGTGTCGTGGTCGACGCGGTCGGGCGGGGGCGCGTCGAGCCGTTGCCGCAGCCAGTAGAGGTACTCGGGATTGCGGATCAGGATCTCGCTCAGGAACGGCGAGGTGCCGAGGATCTGCAGCAGGATGTCGAGCAGGCGCGGATCGGCTTGCACTCGCGAACGAACGCGGCCTTGGGGCGTGCGCGCCGCGACGTAGCGGCAGAATCCGACGAGCGCCGCGTCGGGATCGGGCGTCGTCGAGAGGACGTCGAGCAGCGTGGGGACCAGGTCGCCCAGCGCCAGCCGGCTGGGCAGATCGTCGGCGAGCTGCTGCAGGTGCCGTCGGCCGGCTCGCCGTCGCGCGGCCCGTAGCGTTCGAGAAGCGGGCCGCCCTGTCCGCCGACAGCTCCGCCGCCAGGAAGATGTCCCGCGGCGTCAGGGTGTCCATGTCAACGGGGCGCGATGCCGAGCTCGCCACGGATCGTCGAGAAATCGAAACGTGCGCCCGGGGCGCGTTGTCTCCTGTGCTCCATTTCCTTCAGCAGCAGATCGACCGCTCGCCGCCCGGCGGCGGTGCGCACGCACTCCCGCGGCGTCTTCTGGTTCAACGCCGGCAGCGGCTGGTCGATCCAGTCGGCGTAGTGGCGAGCCTGAACTCCGCCACCAGGTTCTCCTCTTCGGGTGAGGCCGGCGCCGGCCGCCGGTTTCCGCGGACCCTTGGCGAGCGCGAGCGGGTCCGTGTGCTCGCGCGCGCGGTGGCGGACTCGGGAGCCGCAGGCCGCCTCGATCCGTTCGCGCAGCGCGTCCGCCCGCGCCGCAGTTGGTCTCGATCCGGAGCCCCGTGCATCCATCCGCACCCGGCCGATGATCGTCTGCTCGCCCTGCGGCCGCGCCGGATCGTCGGGCCGCAGGAACACGTACACCGTCGAATCGTCGTCGGCGCTTCCTGGTGCGCGTCTTCCATCTCCGCGATGCCGGCGGCGATGGCCGTCATGGCTCCCCGCGCCACCTCGAAGTGGTCCACCGTGAGCAGCACGGGGTCGCCGTCCCGGTTGCGGAGGTCGGGCGCATCGCGCTGCGCACGTCGAGGTCTTCGACGGCCTCCTCCCAGTACCGGATCAGGTTGCGTCCGAAAACGGCGCCCCGAGTCGCTCGACCGGCACGGCCCGCCTGCGGCGCAGTCGATCCGCGCGCGCCGGACGACCTCGGCCGTGTCGATAGGGGGGCAGCGGGCGCTGTGCACCCGCAGAGCAGCGAGACGCCGTCGTGGTCGACGACGCGGGCGAGCAGCGCGTCGCGCGGCACCAGCGTCTTCGACCCGCGCGTTTCCCGCACCGTGCGCCGCTCGCCGGAAAGCAGATCGTGCAGGGTCAGGGTCTTTCCCGGATCGACGGCCTCCACTTCCCACACCGAGAGCCACGCGGCGCGTTGTGCGTCGAGCCAGCGTCGTTCCTCCCGCGAGCAGTGGCGTCCGCGGGAGTCGAGATAGGCGTCGACCACCGTCCTCCCATCCACCTCGAAGCAATAGACCGACCAGGGCCGGCGAGCTGTATCGCCTCGTCGGGGTCCGCGAAGATCGTGTCGTGGTCTTCCCAGCCTCGCCGAACTCCCGCCGGGCGAACCGGCAGAGGCGGTTCCAGCCGTTCGTCCAGCGCGTGCGTCGGCGCGGTGGCCTGGAGGCTGGCGTGCTCGGCCTCGTCGGCCGGCAGTGGCACTTCTTGTACTTGCGTCCGCTGCCGCACGGACAGGGTTCGTTGCGGCCGGCTCGCGGCCGGAAAGGTTCCGCCGGCGCGGGTGCCGGGAGCGTGTCCGGCTCGGGTTCGACGATTCGGTCCGTCGAAGTCCGCGAGCGCTTCGTAGGGAACGGTGAGCCGCACCTCCCGATCGTCGTCGCCGGTGTAGGACTCGCAGACGGCCGCGAAGCTGCGCCCCGGCTCGAAAATGGCGGCGTGCTGGACGAAGAACGCGGCGAGCGACCGGGCGCAGGCCGCGGCGATCTCGACGTCCCGTTCGACGAGCGGGCGCGGTGTGCCGTCCGGGTCGCGGCGTTCCACCACGGGGTAGGCGTCCGCGCCCGCCACCGGCCACCCGTGCTCCATCGCCTCGCGCCGCATCGACGGCGGCAGCTCGGTGGCGGCCTCGAACGTCAGGCCGAGCAGCTCGGCGCCCACCGCCCTCGCGCCGCGTTCGACGGCGCCGGTTCGGATGGCTTCGAGGAGTTGCTCGAAGTCGTCGACGACGGAAAGATAATCACGCCGCGAGTCTCGCCGAGCCGGCCGACGATGGACAGGCAGGCGCCGTCGACGCCGAGCGCCGGGATGTCCATCCGGATCACCTGCCGCTCGTCGGCTACCGTCCACGGCTCGACCGCACACAGGGAGCGGCTGGCGGTGAACAGCTTCTCGACCGCGGCGGCGGACACGCGTCCCGAGCCGAAGTAGCTCGGCTCGTTCCGGACGCCGGCATCGACGCGATCAGGTGATCGAGGACTGCATCGAGCTCCGGCGCCGGGGCGACCGTGACGGGTATGGCTCCCGCAACCTCGGCGCGCACCTCGGCGGCGGTGGCGGTGTCGGCTACGCGGATGACGTCCGGCTGCCGCGGCGCTCCGACCGCGGGCTGCGCCATGGTGCTGCGCAGCGCGCGTGCCACGGCGCCGTCCCTGTCTCGGGCATGACGAGTGCCTGACCGACGACGACGCCGTCCGGCAGCTCCACCCAGAGCACGATCTCGGGGCGGCAGGGCTCGGGGCGATCGTGGATGAAGAAGGGAGGTTGACAGGCGGCCGCCGACCCACTCGCGAGAGGACTCCGAATGACCTGCACCGCGACTCCGCCCCGCTGCGCCCGCCGCGGCATCACTCGGAAACCCTGCCGCTCATTGACGGAATCATACCGCTCACACGGTCTACGGTTGGATCAGGGCCAGAGCAGCCCTCGGCTCACCGCGGCGGCGAAGCGACCGGCGGGCCACACCGCGATGCCGTCGCTCGACACGAACGACCGGTGGCCGGTGTAGACGAGCACCCGGCGCACAATCCCCGGCAGTACCTCGCCGCGCGCAGGCCCTTCAGCAGCCCTGTGTGGTATCGCTCAGTCGATTTCACCTCGATGGCCAGCAACTCGCGCCCCCGTTGCAGCAGTACGTCGATCTCTGTCCGCGACTGGTGCGGCGCCCAGTACGACAGCTCGTCGTAGAGATACTGCACCTCGGCGTGGGCGCGGAGCGTCGTGATCACCCAGCTCTCGAGCAGTGGTCCGCGCTCTTCGGGAATCACCTCCCCGAGCTGACGCTTGACGGCGCGGACCACCCCCGGATCGACCCAGTACAGCTTCGGCAGGCGGCGTTCCCGCACCCGGACCCGCGCCTCGTACGCGGGCAGACGGTACACGAGCAGCGTGTCCTCCAGGATGTCGAGATAGCCCTGCACCGTCGTGCGGGCCACGCCCGCATCTCGCGCGATGCCGGCGACGTTGACGACCTGCCCGTTGAACAGCGCCGCCACCGGGCAGAAAGCGGACGAAGCCGGGCAGGTTGCGGACCAGCGCCTCGGCGCGGATCTCCTCGCGCAGATAGAGCTGCACGTAGGCGTCGAGGACCTCGCGGGGCGCGTCGTTCGTCCACACCAGCGGCACCGATCCGTATCGCAGCACCCGGTCGAGGTCGAACGCGGGGCCCAGCTCGGCGGCGGTGAGCGGGAACATCGTCTTCTTCAGGGCGCGTCCCGCCAGCAGGTTGACGCCGGCGGCTTTCAGCTTGCGCGCGCTCGATCCGAGCAGTGCGAACCGCAGGCGGCGTGTCTCGATGGACCTGTGGACCTCGTTGAGCAACGCGGGCAGTCGCTGTACCTCGTCCACGACAACCCAGTCGCCGGGGGCCAGATGTGCGATGGACTGCGCGAAGAGCGACGGGTCCGCGAGCAGGTCCTGATACAGCCGCTCGTCGAGCAGGTCGACGTACGCGGCGTCCGGGAACATCGCGCGCGCCCACGTGCTCTTGCCAACGCCGCGCATGCCGAACAGGAAGAAGCTCTGGCCGGGCCGCTCGCTCAGCCGGTCGTAGGTGGACACCATGCCGCTAAAAATACATGAAAATTGACGACATGGTATGCAGCGCGCGTGGCGGCTTGCGTCTATCGGCGAAGTCGCGTCAGGTGAACACGCCCAGCGCGGCGAGCAGGCTCTCCTCCACGCGGACCATTTCCTCCGCGGAGAGCTCCGTCAACGGTCCGTCGCCGAGCCGCCGGCGATCGAGGGTGCGAGGCTGGTCGACGGTGACCTGCGAGTCCATCCGCAAGCGGTCGCGCGCGCGAATCGTTACACGCAACGGCTCCGCGTCCGGACGGACGTCGCTGGTGAGCGGCAGGACGATGACCGTACGCGATTGCGCCGCGCTCAACCAGTCGCCCTGCACCACGAGCACGGGGCGGATCTTGCCCACTTCGCGACCGCGATTGGGATTCAGGTTGGCGATCCAGACCTGCCCGCGCCGGATCGCAGCCGTCATGTCGTCTTGCGTTCGCCGGCTGTCCGTCGGCCGCAACCCGCCGTTCCGCCAATTCCAGCGACTCGTTGTCCAGCGGCAAGGCTTCGGCTGCCAAGGCCGTGGCTAGTGACGTTCAATCGCGCCCTCGGCTCGACCCAAGCCGCCGAGAGAACTTCTCGCGACTTTTTCCGCTCCAGTAACTGACTCCAGGCGGCGCGCCAGCAACGACTTCGGTTGCCTGGCGGCACGCGATTCCTCACTCAAACGTGCGTCGAGATCTTCGGAAATCCGAATACTGAGGGTGGTCATGCCTGGCACATTTCGTAGCGCATTCCGAACGACGTTTCGTCACACGGACACGCCGGCAAGGGCCGGACCGAGGGCCGTGGGACGGTGACCGACAAGGATCCGGCTGACGGCGAGGGGGGAACACCAGGCGGGCCGGCGGGATCCCGATGCGCGGATGCGCCGGGTACCCCGTCCCGGCCGGGATAGCGCGACGACTAGCGTCGCGACCAAAACCCGTCGCAAGCTCCTGTTGGCAACCCCAGCCCGGCACCGCCCCAGGAGCTGCGCTCCGAAGCTCCTTCGTTGCGTTCTACGGCGCCCAGACCCCTAGAATGCCAAAAATTAAACTTTCGGGGGCGCGTGCTGTATTCGATGATGCCGCGCTGCAACCCATGTCCGTGTCCGAAGATTATGACGTGGCCGGACCACTAGTCGAAGTAGAGCGCGCTGAACTCCACGGTGGTTGTGCGCGCAGGCGGATCGCGTCGATCTCGTTCTCCCGCTTGTAGGCGATCCAGGTCTCGATCACGTCCGGTGTGAAGACGTCGCCCTTGAGCAGGAACTCGTGGTCGGCCTCGAGGGCGTTCAGCGCCTCGGACAGATCGGCCGGCGTGCTGTCGATCTTGGACATCTCCTCCGGCGGGAGGTCGTAGAGGTCCTTGTCGAGCGGTCCCGGCGGCGTGATCTTGTTCTGGATGCCGTCGAGGCCCGCCATCAGCAGCGCACTGAACGCGAGGTAGCCGTTGCAGGTCGGATCGGGGAAGCGGGTCTCGATGCGCTTTGCCTTCTCGCTGTTCGAGTAGACCGGGATCCGGACCGCGGCGCTGCGGTTCCGCATCGAGTAGATCAGGTTGATCGGCGCCTCGTAGCCCGGGACCAGGCGCCGGTAGGAGTTGGTCGTCGGATTGGTCAGCGCGAGCAACGCGGGGGCGTGCTTGAGGACGCCCCCGATGTAGTGGAGCGCCATCTGGCTGAGGTCGCCGTAGTTGCCGGCCTCGAAGAACTGGTTCCTGCCGTCCTTCCAGAGGCTCTGGTGGACGTGCATGCCGGACCCGTTGTCCTGGAAGAGGGGCTTCGGCATCAGCGTCACCGTCTTGCCGTGGCGGCGGGCGACGTTCTTGACGCGTACTTGTACTTCAGCAGCTTGTCGCCCATGCTCACGAGCGAGTCGAAGCGCATGTCGATCTCGGCCTTGGCCGGCCGTGCCCACCTCGTGGTGATGGACCTCGATCTCCACACCGATCTGCTCCAGGGTGAGCAGCATCTCGGTGCGCAGATCCTGGTGGCTGTCCATCGGCGGCACCGGGAAGTAGCCTTCCTTGTACCGCGGCTTGTAGCCCAGGTTGCGCGAATTGCCGGCGGCGTCGGGGTTCTCCACCCGGCCGGCGTTCCAGAAGCCCTCGCTGGCGTCGATGTGGTAGTAGCCCTCGTTGTAGGTCTGTCCGAACCGGATGTCGTCGAAGATGAAGAACTCCGGCTCGGGACCGAAGTAGGCGGTGTCGCCGATGCCCGTCGACTTCAGGTACGCCTCGGCCTTCTGGGCGATGTTGCGGGATCCCGCGAGTAGGACTCGCCGGTGATCGGGTCCTTGACGTTGCAGATGAGACAGAGCGTGGTCTCGGCTGCGAACGGGTCGACAAAGGCGGTCGACGGATCCGGGAACAGCAGCATGTCGCTTTCCTGGATCTGCTGAAATCCGCGGATGCTCGATCCGTCGAACCCGATCCCTTCGTCGAAGACGTCCGCGGAAAACTCCTTCGCCGACACGGTGAAGTGTTGCCACAACCCCGGCATGTCGACGAAGCGCAGGTCGATGACCCGGATTCCCTCGTCCTTGATCTTTGCCATCACGTCGTGTTCGCTGTCATTCAGTTACCTCTCGTTCTGCGAATATTGCCTACCCTGCGCGAGACGCTGCGCCGCTCGATGCGCGGCCCGTTCGCTACACGACGTCCCGCTCACCCGTCCGAATAATCCGGCTCTGCTCGACCGGTAGCACGAAGACCCGTCCGTCACCGATTTCACCTGTACGCGCCGCGATCCATGATGGCGTCGATCAAGCCGCGTACTGGTCAAACCATGTCGTCGGCAGCACGACGCTCGATCTTTCGCCTTGGGCATGCAGCTGATGTCGTACTCCGGCCCCTGCGTATCACGTCGTGTCGTATGGGCCGCGCTGGCGGCCGTGGCCGCGCACCTCGCTGACCGTGATGCCCGAGATGTCCTGCTTCGAGAGCGCGTCCTTGATGGCGTCGACCCGGTTGGGACGGACAATGGCTTCGATCATCTTCATGCGGTGTGCTTGTACGCGAGCTCACGTTTGTTGTTAGCGCGAGGGTCTGCTGCACAGCTCGGCCCTTGCCAGCGTCTGCGCTCCGCGTCCGATAGCTTGGCGCGGTTCTTCGTGACGTGGAAGACGTCGATGGCCAGCGTGCCCTCCGTCGAGATCAGCACGAGGTCGATGTCGCAACCGTGGGCCGACAGGACGTGGCTGAGTCGATAGAGCAGCACGCGTCTCGCGACCACTCGGCACTGTGAACTCGCCGGAGTAGTGATGTGTGCAGCGCATCGTTCGCTAACGGCCGGGTTAGCTGCGGACGGGCGGCTGGTCGACCGACGACCCTCCCACGCCCGCCGCGCAGCTTGTCGGCGATGTCCACGCGTCCGGCAATGACGTCCTCGAGCAGCGCGGTGAGCTCGTCACGGCCACCCGGTTCAAACGCAGGTAGCCCTCCTGGTCGGCGAACTGGAAGATGTCCAGGACGAGGCCGTGCCGATTGGTTATCGCCTGGCCGCGCAGAATGTCCATGCCGAAGTACGACAGGACGCCGCACACGTTCGCGAACAGGCCGGGCTGATCCAACGCAATCGTGCTGAGCTCCCACGCGGCATCCTTCTGTTCGAGCAGCGACCGTACCTCCTGCGGCTCCAGCCCGCGCGCAAGCCGGACGTGCTCGTAGACCCGCGGTCGGTCGACCATGCGCAGGTAGCGTTGGGGGAGTCCCTCGATGAACGCGTCGAGATCCTCCGCGGACACGTCGGCGGGGCGCTGGGCGCTCAGCTCGTTCCGGACCGCGTCCGCGTCGTCGATCTCGTCGTCGCTGTAGCCGAGCGTCAGCCGGTTGTAGGTGTCGACGTAGAGACGCCACAGCATCTCTTCCTTCCACGGCGTCATGACGCCGGGGCTGACCGCATCGACGTCCGCGAGGGTCAGCAGGCAGAGCAGCTTCAGCCGCTCCTCGGTGCCGACCAGCCTGGCGAACTGCGTCGCCGTCTCGGGATCCTCGACGTCGCGCCTGAACGCCAGCACGGACATCTGCAGGTGGTGCCGGATCAGGAACTCGACCGTGGCGATGGACTTGTCGGGGAGCCGAATGCGGCGCAACGCGCCGATCGCCATGCGGACCCCTTCTTCCGAGTGGTTCTTGTTGGTCCACTTGCCCGACGTCGTGGAAGAGAAGGGCCAACACCAGCACTTCCGGTCGCTCCAGCTCGCGGAGCACGCTGGCAAAGCGCTTCCGGCCGGGCGTCCGCGGCGTGCAGAGGTGCTCCACGTTGCGGATGGTGCGCAGCGTGTGCTCGTCGACCGTGTACTTGTGGTAGAAGTCGCGCACGACGAGGCAGTAGACCTTCTGGAACTCGGGGAACATCCTGCCCAGCAGGCCGCGCCCGTGCATGTCGGAGAGCCGTGCATAGAGACCCGGCCGCGGACGGAGCACCCGCAGCAGCCGGTCGCGTTCCTCTGCGGTGGGGAAGAAGCTCTCCGGCGCGTAGCGCTCCCCGTGGCGTTCGATGCAGGTGAGCACCTGTTCGGACACTTCCGCGTCTTCGTTCAGCGCGGCCTCGAACGGGCGCAGCCAGCTCTGCGGCTGGAGCGAGGCGAGGGTGCCGTCGACGAACCGGATGCCGTCCCAGGCGCTCTCGAGGTCGTCTCCGATCGGCTTGACGGTCCGGTTTCTGTCAGGCGGCGCCTGCGACGACTTGAGCACCGTCGCCATGGAGCGGTCGATCCGCCGCGCATGGTGGTAGTAGGTGCTCATCAACAGCTCGACCTGCCTCCGCTTCTGGTCGCCCGGCGAGCCGAAGTGCTGCGCGACGGTCTCCTGCAGTCCATGGTCGAGGACGTTGAGGTTGTGGCCTCGCTCCATGTGCAGAATGGAGCGGACGCGCAACATGAAGTCCTCCGCCTCGTCCAGGCGCCCGACGTCGGTGTACGGCTCTCCCGGCGCCCCGCGGGCCATCCGCGCCAACAGCCGTATGGCGGTCGCGTCGCGCAGCCCCCCGGGGGCGTCCTTGATATCCGGCTCGAGCTGAAACACGGTGTGGTTGAACTGCCCGTGGCGCTTGCGCGCCAGATCGACGAGCGCCGCCCGCATCGGGGCGCGCCAGGGCGACTCGGCGGCCAGGCAGGCCTTGACGGAGCGTTCGAATACGCTCGGGTCACCGCGAGAAACCGCGCGTCCAGCAGCGCCGCCAGGTACTCCGGGTTGTCCGTCTCGGGCTCGCGGAACTCCGCGATCTGCCGCACCTGGTGCCCGACTCCAAACCGAGATCCCAGAGCGGATGCAGGATTGCCCGGAGAAACCGTTCTTCCGGTGCGCCTATCTCTCCGTCGACGACGATCAGCAGGTCGATGTCGGAGTACTGGCAAAGATGGCGGCGTCCGTACCCGCCCAGCGGGATCAGGGCGGTCGGCTTGTCCGTGAGCTCGCGGCCGGTCTCGTAGATGTCCTTCAGGATGTCGTCGATGCGGGTCGCGTAGCGGTGCAGGGTCCGGATGCCCGCGCGGGCCAGGGCCGCCTCGGTGCGAAGTCTCCTCACGGGCTTCGACCAGACGCGCGGACAGATTGGACAGGGTCCCGCGCGACCGGGTGTCGTCAGGCGCAGCCGCGGGGTCGGAGGGAAGCATCACAGCCTCGATGTTCGTGGAGAGCTAGTAGCCGATGGAGAGGCCCACGGAGCCGATGGCCTGAAACTGGTTGCCGCCGTTGAGAGATTCGAGATAACGGCCCAGCAGCAGCATGTGCGCGCCTCCGGTCAGCTCCCAGGAGCCGAACGACTCCGGTACGTTCAGAGGCATTCCCAGGACGAGGCCCAGATCGAGATAACCGAACGTGTCGTTGGTGAGCCCGCCGTCCTCATAGTAGTTGTTGAGGCTCATACCCAGGGTCAGGGGGACGGTTAGCGACAGCGATCCTTCCGCTAGGTCGAGGCCGGGCTCGATGCCCAGCTCGAAGTACGCCCCTTCGCTCGCGCCGCCGTCAGCCTGTCCATGCACTTCGACCGCGAGGGCGAGATGCGGATGCAGAAGCAACGGAAGCATGGTCACGCCGGTGTCGTCCAGGCTCAGGCTGATCCCGATCTCCTGTACCGTGCCGAAGGAGTGACTCGGGCTCATATAGGCCGTGTACGACACGCCGGCTTCCCAGTTTTCCAGGCCCAACGTGAAGCCGGTGAAGAAGTCCGATTCGTACCATGTGTGCGGACCGGTCGTGGTGCCCCGCCCCGAGGAGTAAAGCTGTTCCACTGGCCCACCGTGAACGCGATGGAATTGAGGCCATCGCCCCCGTCGAGAAGCATGACGGTAGTGTCGAAGTACGGCTGGACGATGACTCCGTCCCGCTCCTGCCTGATGCCGCGGAAGAAATAGGCGTGGCTCGTGTCGAGTCCCATGTTGAAGGCGATCCGCCCGCTGTTTGCCTGCGCGGACGCAGGGAGGGGTGTCGCCACTACACACCCCGCGATCACCAGTGCATACGCGTACACGCCCGGTGCGACGCGACGTCGCTCGATCATCGAAACGTCCCTCCCCTCGCAAAGTCCATCGACGGCGTGATGCGCCAGTACTGCCCCAACCGGCGTATCTTATCAAGATCCGGGCGCTTGGACCGGTCGGCACGGAAAGGCGGGAGCCGGAGGCTGGCGTACCTCCGACTCCCACGTTGTGACCCCGCCGAGGAGGAAGCAGAGTCGCAAATTCACAGGCGGCCGGCGGCTAGTAACCGAGACCGAGGCCGAACAGCGCGATGAGCTTCGTGCCCGCTGTCCCCGCCGTCGATGGCCTTCGCGCCCTCGCCCAGCACGAGCGCGTTCACGCCGAGGGCGAGCTCCCAGGCCCCGTACTGCTCCGGAACGTTCAGCGGGATGCCGATCGAGGCGCCGGCGCTGAAAAAGCCGAACGTGCTGTCGCCGATCATGCCGTCTGCCATCTCGTACTCGTAGTAGTTGCCCATGCTCATGCCGATCGACACCGGAAACGACAGACTGACCGGCGCATCGTCGAGCGGCGCCGCCGGCTCGATGCCGAACTCCAGGTAGTTGCCCTTGTCGAAGCCGTCCGCGACCGCCGGTCACCTCGAACGCCATCGTCACGTACGGCGCCGCGACGTTGTCGACGCTGAGGCCGAGTGCGATCTCCTTGGTCGTGCCCCAGCTTCCGCGCGGGCTCATGTACGCGGTGTAGGTGACGTCGACGCCGACCGGGCCGGCCGCGCCGCCGATGCCGGCGTAGAAGTCGTCTCGTAGAAGCTCGAGGGCGCTCCGCCGAAGCCTTCGTCGCTTCTCGAGTGCAGCTGCTCCAGGTGCCGGCGGTAATGGACGCCGCGCCGAAGCTGATGCTGCCGTCGAGGAACGGCTGCGCGATGAAGCCGCCGGTCTCCTGGACGATGCCGCGGAAGTAGTACTGGTTGACGATGTCCACTCCGCTGGAAAGGCTCACGCTGCCGTTGTTGCCCATGTCCTGCGCCGTCGCGGGAGTGGCGGCGAGGCCGGCCGCCGCGGCGCAGGTGAACGCTAGGACGATGAAGCGAATGGTTGATCTGTACATGACGCTGACTCTCTCCTCCGTTGGTGGGCTGCGTCAGGCGGCCCGGGTTTCCGTTGCGAACCACGGCCGGCCGGCGACCCCGGGTCCTGGCGCCCGCACCGGTTTCGTCACCGCCGTCTAGTGCGTGATCTGGAACCCGCCGTAGGCTCCATGCCGTGCTCGCCGACGTCGAGCCCCATGCGCTCCTCTTCCTCGCTGACGCGGAGACCCAGGCTCTTGTGCAGCGCGAAGAAGATGAGCAGGGCGGCCGCGAACGTGAAGGCGCCATAGGCCAGGACGCCGATCAACTGCGTGACGAAGGAGTGGTCCGCGCTGAAGATCCCGACCGCCAGCGTGCCCCAGATGCCGCAGACCAGATGCACCGACACCGCGCCGACCGGGTCGTCGAGCTTCGCCGATCGATGTAGAGCACTCGCCCCGACGACGATGACGCCGGCGATCAGGCCGATCAGACAGCGCGGCGTTGACGCTGACGCACGTCGGCGCCGGCGGTGATGCCGACCAGCCCGCGAGCGCCCCGTTCAGGACCATCGACAGGTCCGGCTTGTGCTGGACGGACCACGAGGTGAGCATGGCGCCGATGACCCCGGCCGCCGCGGCCAGCGACGTGGTGACGAAGACCAGGGACACCAGACCGGGGTCGGCGCTCAGCACCGAGCCGCCGTTGAACCCGAACCAGCCGAGCCAGAGCAGGAAGACCCCGATGGTGGCCAGCGGCATGCTGTGTCCCGCAATCGGCTTCGCGTGCGCGCCGTACTTGCCGAGCCGCGGACCGAGAATGATGATGCCGGCGAGCGCGCCCCAGCCGCCGACCGAGTGCACGAGGGTGGAGCCGGCGAAGTCGTAGAAGCCCATCTGGTCCAGCCACCCGCGCCCCACTTCCACGACCCGGCGATCGGATAGATGAGTGCTACGTAGATCGTCGTGAAGATCAGGAACGAGTTCAGCTTGATCCGCTCGGCCACGGCGCCGGACACGATGGTGGCGGCCGTCGCGGCGAACATCGCCTGGAAGATGAAGTCGGTCCAGTACGTGTAGCCGGGGTTGTAGGCGCTGGTTACGCCTTCCGCGCCCGCGTCGATGCCGAAGCCGGCGAACCCGAAGAACTGGCCGAGCGAGAAATCGCCCGGATACATCAGGTTGAAGCCGACGAAGGCATACGTGACCAGTCCGATGGAGACGACACCCGTGTTCTTGAACAGGATGTTGACGGCGTTCTTCGCCTGCGTCAGTCCCGACTCCAGACAGGCGAAGCCGAGGTGCATGATGAAGACGAGAAACGTCGCCACGAGCATCCAGGTGTTGTTGACGGCGAACATCTCGTCCGACACGTCCTGGGCGAGCGCGGCGTGCGGCAGCAGCACGACGCCGAAGAGCGCGAGCAGGAACAGGCGGCCGAATGAGCGACGAGGTGTATGTTTCATGGCGTTGTCCTTGCTGGTCGTTCGTTGATTCCCCTAGAGTGCCGCCGAGTCCGACTCGCCCGTGCGGATACGGACCGCCTGCCCGACGTCGCTGACGAAGATCTTGCCGTCGCCTATCTCGCCGGTGCGGGCGGACTGCGTGATCGACTCGATGGCCGAAGCGACGTGCTCGTCGTCCGTGACGATCTCGATCTTCACCTTGGGCACGAAGTCGACGGAGTACTCGACGCCGCGGTAGACCTCGGTGTGACCCTTCTGTCGCCCGAAGCCCTTGACTTCGGTGACGGTCAGTCCCTTGATCCCCGACTTCGAGAGCGCATCGCGCACCCCGTCGAGCATGTGTGGCTTGATGATGGCCGTGATGAGTTTCATGAGCTGTCTCCAGAACGGGTTTCGGGCACCAAAGAAGCGTTGCGCACTGATAAAGCAAGATGCGGGCCAGATCTGGCGGGCACGGATCATTCCGGCAAAGTCCGCTGAATCCGCCGCTGTCCGGGCCGGCGCGAGGGCGTGTCGGAGTTTGGAAACTACAAGAATGTATGTTCTTGGTCGAGCCTACATTTTTGTATGCTTGGAAAATAGAACGAATTGGTCGATCCGGGAGGAGGCCGCGGCGGGACCCGCCGGGGGCGTATTTCTGGCGTATTCGTGGCGGATTGTTACGGAGAGTCGCTAGCGGACGCCGCAGCGCGAGCGAGCCGGTTTGTGAAAAACGACATAAATGGCGTCAATGTATAGAATGACGACATTTGTGTCTAATGCTGTTTCTTACCGAAATCGTCGGCAATCGATCTCGTACTTCTTGACCTTGTAGCTGATGATGCGCTCGGTCGAATCGAGGAGCCTTGCCGCCTTGACCCGGTTCCCGCGCGTGGTCTTCAACGCGTCCTGGATCAGGTCCTTCTCGTAGGCGCCGACCGCATCGGACAGCGCGACGCGGGTCACCGTGCCCGTGGCCTCGCTGGTCTGCAGACTCGGCGGCAGGTGGTGGCCGTGGATGACGCTGCCGTCGCAGACGAGCAGGGCCCGTTCGATGCTGTTTTCGAGCTCGCGGACGTTGCCCGGCCAGTGGTACGCCATCAGCATGTCGATGGCCGGCGTCGAGATTCGCTTGACGCTCTTGCCGTGCTCGACGGAGTACTTCTCCAGGAAGTTGTCCGCGAGCAGCAGGATGTCGGTTTCCGTTCGCGCAGCGGCGGCACGAAGATCGTGAAAACGTTGACGCGGTAGTGCAGATCCTCACGGAAGGTTCCGGCGGCGATGGCCTTCTCGAGGTCGGCGTTGGTGGCTGCGATCAGGCGCACGTTGGTCTTGACGGGCGTCACGCCGCCGAGCCTCTCGAACTCCTTCTCCTGCAGCACGCGCAGCAGCTTGACCTGCGTGGACAGGTTGATGTCGCCGATCTCGTCGAGGAACAGCGTGCCTCCGTCGGCCAGCTCGAAGCGTCCCTTCTTGCGCGCCGCGGCGCCGGTGAACGCGCCCTTCTCGTGGCCGAAGAGCTCGGCCTCGATCAGGGAATCGGGCAGAGCGGCACAGCTCACCTTGATGAACGGCTTCTTGGCGCGCGGGAGTTGTAGTGGATGGCGTGCGCGATGCAGCTCCTTGCCGGTGCCGGACTCGCCGCGGACCAGCACCGTGGTATTCGTGCCGGTGACCTGCGCGATCTGCTCGTACACCTGCCGCATCGGTCCGCTGGTCCCGATGATCTGGGAGAAGTCGTAGCGTTCCTTCAGCTCCGCCTTCAGGTGCGTGTTCTCGGCCAGGAGGTGCTGGCGTTCGACCTCGGCCGCCTCCTTCAGGCGGATCGCCTGCCCGAACATGCTGGCCACCACGCGACAGACGTGCAGGTCGCGGTCGTACTGGCGCGCCCGTTCGAACGGAAAATCGATGTTGAGCGAGCCCAGCGCCTTGCGCGCCCCGGGGATCGGCACGCACATGAAGGTGATCTCGGAGCGCGCGCCCTGGGGCCGGCGGCCGGTCCGGTGCAGGAAAGCCGGCTCCTGGCTGATCTGGGGAATGACCACGGGCTTGCCGCTGGCGACGACGCGGCCCGTGATCCCCTCGCCCATCTCCCATTCGGCATGTCTGCCTTCGTCGGGCACGCCGGCGGAGTTTTCCACCCGCAGGCGCCCCGAGTTCGCGTCGGCGAGGACGACCGCGCTGCGGATCACGCCGTAGTCGTGATCGAGGATCTCCAGCGCCCGTTGCAGGCCCTCGCGCGGCGTCCTCCCGACGGTCAGCGCCTGGTTGACCTCGGCGAGCATCACGAGCGGCTTCGCGTCGGTCGACAGGCCCTTGAGCTTCGTCTTCGACATCGGACGTGACTCGCCGGTGGCCGGGGACACCGGCCGTGCACGGGACGTTGCAGCGCGTGCGCCACGCGTACGTGTAGCCATCTCCGTGTGCATTCAAAGAACGTGCCAACACGAGAACGGCTGCCGTGGAAGTCGGTCGGCGATGTCTCGCCCGGGCCGGCGACGAGGTTGCCCACCGCCGGGTGGCGGAAAACTATACGGGCGCCGGCAGGTCGGACGCTCCCATCAGCCAGGCGTCGATGCCCCGCGCGGCGCTGCGGCCCTCGGCGATGGCCCAGACGACGAGCGACTGGCCGCGCTGCATGTCGCCGGCGGCGAACACGGACGGCACGCTGGTCATCCAGTTCTCGTCGCGCCAGACGTTGCCGCGGTCGGTCAGCCGGATCCCGAGCTCGGTGAGCAGCCCGGGCCGTTCCGGTCCCAGGAAGCCCATCGCGAGCAGGACCAGGTCGACTTCCATCTCGAACTCGCTGCCGGCGACCCGGTCGAACGTCGGCCGGCCGTTCTCACGACGCAACGCCACCTTGATGCCGTGCAGCCGGTCGACGCGGCCGTCGTCGGTTCCCGAGAAGCGCTCGGTCGACACGGAGTACACGCGGTCGCCGCCCTCTTCGTGCGCCGCCGACACCCGGAAGATGTTGGGCCAGGTCGGCCAGGGGTTGTCGGGGTCTCGCTGCTGCGGTGGCTGGGGCAGCAGCTCGAACTGCGCCACCGACGCCGCTCCCTGCCGGTGCACGGTGCCGAGGCAGTCGGCGCCGGTGTCGCCACCGCCGATGATGACGACCCGCTTGTCCTTCGCGGTAATCGTCTCCGCGGCGGGCACGACGTCGCCTTCGTTGCGGCGGTTCTGCTGCGTCAGATAATCCATCGCGAAATGGATGCCGCGCAGCTCCCGCCCCGGAACCTTCAGATCGCGGGGCCAACCGGCGCCGCCGGCGAGCAGCAGCGCGTCGTGCTCGGCGCGGAGTCGGGCCGCGGAGACATCCACGCCGACGTTGACTCCGGTCCGGAACTGCACCCCCTCGCCTTCCATGACGGTGAGCCGCCGGTTGAGGAAGCGCTTCTCCATCTTGAACTCGGGGATGCCGTACCGCAGCAGGCCGCCGATGCGATCCGACTTCTCGAAGACCGTGACGGTATGGCCGGCTCGGTTGAGCTGGTCGGCAGCGGCGAGCCCGGCCGGCCCGGATCCGATGACCGCCACCGACTTGCCGGTGCGCACTGCCGGCGGCGCCGGCGCGATCCACCCTTCGTCGAAGGCGCGCTCGACGATGGCGAGCTCCACGGACTTTATGGTCACCGCGTCGCCGTCGATCGCCAGCACGCAGGATCCCTCGCACGGCGCCGGGCAGAGCCGGCCGGTCCATTCGGGGAAGTTGTTGGTCTTGTGCAGCCGGTCGATTGCGCTGCGCCACCTGCCGCGGTAGACGAGGTCGTTCCAGTCGGGGATCAGGTTGCCGAGGGGACATCCCTGGTGGCAGAACGGAATGCCGCAGTCCATGCAGCGGGCGCCCCTGCGCCTGCATGTCGGGCGTCGCGTACGGCAGGTAGACCTCGTTCCAGTCGGCGAGCCGCTCGCCGGTCGGCCGCTTCGGCGCCGCCTGCCTTTCGATTTCGAGAAATCCCTTCAGCTTGCCCATCGGTCTCCGTATGTCACTGTACGCCGATCAGCTCGGCGAACTGCGGCTGGCGCGCTTCGGCGCGCGCCCGCGCCTCGGCCTGCAGCACACGCTTGTAGTCTCGCGGCATCACCCTGACGAACCGCCGGCAAGCGGTGTCCCATTCCGCGAGAAGTCCGCCGGCCACGGTGCTGCCGGTCGTGTCGACGTGCCGGGTCAGCAGTTCCTCGACGAGCAGCAGGTCGTCGTCCGCCAGGGGCTCGAGGTCGACCATGCCCGGATTGCAGCGGCGTTCGAAGTCTCCGTCCGCGTTCAGCACGTAGGCGATGCCCCCGCTCATGCCGGCCGCGAAATTGCGACCCGTAGGTCCGATGACGACCACGCGGCCGCCGGTCATGTACTCGCAGCCGTGGTCGCCGACCGCTTCGACGACGGCGTGCGCGCCGCTGTTGCGGACCGCAAAGCGTTCGCCCGCGACGCCGCGCACGAACGCCTCGCCTCCGGTGGCGCCGTACAGGGCCACGTTGCCGATGATGATGTTCTTCTCCGGCGTGAAGGTCGAGCTCGCGGGTGGGAAGATCACGAGCCGCCCGCCCGACAGCCCCTTGCCGAAGTAGTCGTTCGCGTCGCCTTCGACCGTCATCGAGACGCCGCGCGGCACGAACGCGCCGAAGCTCTGCCCGGCGGAGCCGGTGAACGCGATCCGGATCGTGCCGTCCGGGAGACCCTGCGCGCCCCACCGCCGGCTGATCCTGGACCCGAGCATCGTTCCGACCGTCCGGTTGACGTTGCGGATCGGCAGCGAGATCTCCACCGGGCGGCGGTGCTCGATGGCCTCGGCGCAGCGCTCGATGAGCGTGTTGTCCAGAGCGCGGTCGAGGCCATGGTCCTGCGGCTGCACGCAGCGGCGGCCGACCGTGTCCGGGACTTCGGGCTGGTGCAGAATCGTCGACAGGTCGACGCCGCGCGCCTTCCAGTGGTCCACCGCCCGGCGAACGTCCAGGCGGTCGGCCCGGCCGATCATCTCGTCCATGGTGCGGAAGCCGAGCTGCGCCATCAGCTCCCGGATCTCCTCGGCGACGAACCGGAAGTAGTTCTCGACGAACTCCGCCTTGCCGGAGTAGCGCTCGCGCAGCTTCGGGTTCTGGGTGGCGATGCCGACCGGACAGGTGTCGAGGTGGCAGACGCGCATCATGATGCAGCCGGAGACCACGAGCGGCGCCGTGGAGAAGCCGTACTCCTCGCCGCCGAGCAGCGCGGCGATGACCACGTCGCGGCCGGTCTTCATCTGCCCGTCGACCTGGACGACGATCCGGTCGCGCAGGTCGTTCATGACCAGCACCTGCTGCGTTTCGGCGAGGCCGAGCTCCCACGGCACGCCGGCGTGCTTGATGCTCGTCAGCGGCGACGCGCCGGTGCCGCCGTCGTGCCCCGAGATGAGCACGACGTCCGAATGCGCCTTCGAGACGCCGGCCGCCACCGTGCCGACGCCGTACCTCCGCCACCAGCTTCACGTGCACCCGCGCGTCCGGGTTCGAGTTCTTCAGGTCGTGGATGAGCTGGGCCAGATCCTCGATAGAGTAGATGTCGTGGTGCGGCGGCGGCGAGATCAAACCGACGCCCGGCGTCGAGTAGCGCACCTTCGCGATCCACGGATAGACCTTGAAGCCGGGGAGCTGCCCGCCCTCGCCGGGCTTGGCGCCCTGCGCCATCTTGATCTGCAGGTCGTCCGCGTTGACGAGGTACTCGCTGGTTACGCCGAAGCGGCCCGAGGCCACCTGCTTGACGGCGCTGCGGCGCAGGTCGCCGTTCTCGTCCGGGATGAATCGAGCCGGGTCCTCGCCTCCTTCGCCGGTGTTCGACTTGCCGCCGAGCCGGTTCATGGCAATGGCCAGCGTCTCGTGCGCCTCGGCGCTGATCGAGCCGTACGACATGGCGCCGGTGGCGAAGCGCTTGAAGATCGCCTCGGCCGGCTCGACCTCTTCGAGCGGGATCGGCTCGGCCGCCGGCTTCAGCTCGAGCAGGCCGCGCAACGTCGCCCGCTGGCGGCTCTGGTCGTTGACGAGCCGGGCATAGTCCCGGTAGACGTGCCACCTGGTTGCTGCGGGTGGCGTGCTGCAGCTTGAAGACGGTCTCGGGGTTGAACAGGTGGTACTCGCCGTCGCGGCGCCACTGGTACTCGCCGCCCCCATCCAGCTCGTCGTCCTCGCGCCCGCGCTCGGCGAACGCCCGCGCGTGGCGGCGGACGACCTCCTCGGCCACCGTGTCGATGCCGATCCCGCCGATGCGCGACGCGGTCCACGTGAAGCAGCGGTCGACGAACGCCTTGTCGAGCCCGACCGCCTCGAAGATCTGGGCGCCGCGGTAGCTCTGGAGCGTGGAGATGCCCATCTTGGACATCACCTTGAGCACGCCCTTGGTGCAGGCCTTGATGTAGTTGCGGACCGCCTGCGCCTGGTCGAGGTCCTGCACCTCGCCGTCGGCACGCAGCCCCTCGATGGTCTCGAAGGCGAGATACGGGTTGACGACCGCCGCGCCGTAGCCCACGAGCAGGGCCATGTGATGGCACTCGCGTGCTTCGCCGGTTTCGACGATCAGCGAGCAGCGCGTTCGGGAGCCTTCTCGCACGAGGTGGTGGTGGACGCCGGCCGTGGCCAGCAGGGCCGGCACCGGCGCGTGCTCGCGATCGACCCCGCGTCGCGGACAAGACGATCACAGGCGTCGCCCCCTCCTAGCGCGACCCTTCGCTGGCCGCCCGCTACAGTCTCGTCCATTTCCTGCCTCTTCGCGCCCGCTCGGGCGGGATCGAACGAGCATCGGCAGTCGCTGTTCCGGAACGCCGGATCGTGCAGGCGCCGCAGCTTCGCCAGGTCGTCGTTCGTGATCAGCGGCGCATCGACCTTGACGTGATGACACGACCGCGCGTCGGGGGCCAGCAGGTTGGCCTCGGCGCCGAGGGTCGACCCCATGTCGGTGACCAGCTCCTCGCGGATCGCGTCGAGCGGCGGGTTGGTCACCTGGGCGAAGAGCTGCTTGAAGTAGTCGTAGAGCAGCCGCGAGCGGTCCGAGAGGACCGCGAGTGCGGTGTCGGTGCCCATCGAGCCGATCGGCTCGGCGCCGTTCTGCGCCATCGGCGCGATGAGGATCCGCAGGTCCTCCTCGGTGTAGCCGAAGGCCCGCTGCAGGGTGCGCACCGCCTCCTGCGGCTCGGCCGGGGCGCCGGGGGCCGGCGGCAGGTCGTCGATATGGACCAGCTCCTGCTTCAGCCATGCGGCGTAGGACCGCTCCCGCGCGAGGTCGCGCTTGATCTCCTCGTCGTCGACGATCCGGCCCTGGGCCGTGTCGACCAGGAAGATGCGGCCCGGATGCAGCCGCTCCTTGACCAGTACGTTCTCCGGCGGATGTCGAGGACGCCCACCTCGGACGCCATGATCACCATGTCGTCCTTCGTGACGTAGTAGCGCGAGGGCCGCAGCCCGTTGCGGTCGAGCACCGCCCCGATGACCGTGCCGTCGGTGAAGGCGATCGAGGCCGGGCCGTCCCACGGCTCCATCAGCGAGGCGTGGTACTCGTAGAACGCCTTGCGCTCCGGGCTCATCGATTCGTGGTTGCTCCACGGCTCCGGAATCATCATCAGGACCGCGTGGGCCAGCGGCGGCCGGTCAGGGCCAGGAACTCCAGCACGTTGTCGAACGTCGCGGTATCGCTCTGGCCTTCGCGAATCAACGGAAACAGCCTTCTGCAGATCGTCGCCGAAGAGGTCCGACCGGCAGAGCGCCTCGCGGGCCCGCATCCAGTTGATGTTGCCCCGCAGCGTGTTGATCTCGCCGTTGTGCGCGCAGTAGCGGTACGGGTGGGCCAGCGGCCACGAGGGGAACGTGTTCGTGCTGAACGGGAATGCACGAGCGCGAGGGCCGACTCCACGTCCGGGTCCGCGAGGTCGGGGAACATCCGCTCGACCTGGTCCGCGATCAGCATCCCCTTGTAGACGATGGTGTTCGACGACAGGCTGGCGACGTAGAAGAGCTCGCGCTCCCGAAGCTGGAGCCGGTCGGCCTCGTGCGCCGCGCGGTTGCGGATGACGTACAGCTTCCGTTCGAACCGCGCCGCCGCGTCCGCCGCGTCGTCCGGAGCCGGCCCGCGTCCAATGAAGATCTGGCGGATGACGGGCTCACCACTCCTCGCGGTGGCGCCGAGGTGTCCGCTGTCCGTCGGCACGTCGCGCCAGCCGAGCAGGCGCTGGCCCTCCTCGACGACGACGCGGCCGAACGTCTCCTCCACCTGCCGCCGTTCGGCGGCGTCGCGCGGCAGGAACACCATGCCGACGCCGTAGCCGCCCGGCTCCGGCAACTCGAACCCGGCGGCAGGAGCCGCCTTGCGGAAGAACCTGTGCGGAAGCTGCAGGAGCATCCCGGCGCCGTCGCCCGTGTTCACCTCGCAGCCGCACGCGCCGCGGTGCAGCAGATTCACGGAGACTTCGAACGCCTGCCGGACGAGCTCGTGCGACCGCTTGCCTTTGATGTTCACGACGAAACCGACGCCGCACGAGTCGTGCTCGAAGCGCGGGTCGTACAGCCCCTCGGCGCGCGGCATCGCGCCGGGGGCGGGGATTGAGGCGTGAATTCTGCATGGTCGCCTTCATCGGTTCGAGATCCGGAGAATCCGCCGCCGGCTACGGTGTGCCCGTGACGGTGGCCACCTGTGCGACCGTGGCCGCGGCGTCGCATGCGGACTCCTCGGCCGCGCCAGGGCGGTTGGCACGGCGCTTCAGCGGCCCGCCCGGCGCTGTCGAGCCGAAGCAGCCGAATGAACTCGGTCACGGCCGGATTGAGCCGCCGCCGACGCCGGTGGACGATGCTCAGAGGCCGCACGAACGCCGCTTCGCCGTCGAGCGTGTCCAGGGGGACGGCCACGAGTGTCTGCCGCTCCACTTCGCGCCGCAGGGTCGATCCCGGAAGAATCGCGACCCCTGCGCCGTCCTCCACCGCCTGCTTGATGTTCTCGATGGTGTCGAACTCGGCGACGACGTCGACGTCGACGCCGTGCCGCCGCAGGTAGCGGTCGAGCTCGCGTCGGACCGGGAGCGCGCGGTCGAACGTCACGAATGCCGTACCATCCAGCTCCGACGGTCCGAGCGCCGTCGTCCGGCGTGCGAAGCGGTGGGCCGGTGGACAGGCAACGGCCATGGTCTGTGCTGCCACGGGACCACCGTCAGGTCGCGGCCCGGCGCGGCGAACGCGAGCAGCCCGATGTCCGACTGATCGTTCTGGATGCGCGTCGGGATCTCGTCCGGATGCATGTACTCGATGTCGACATGGGCGCCGGGTACCGCCGCGCGAAACCGGTCGACGTACAGGCTCAGATCGTGCAGCCCGACGGAATAGATGGACGCCAGGCGCACCGTATAGCCGGACGGATCCTGCCGACGCTGCACCGCTTCCTCGAGCTCGTGGTAGCGGTCGACGATCTCCTGGCAGCCCTGGAAGAAGAGCTTGCCCTCCGGCGTCAGTTGCCACGGACGGCGCGACCGGTCTATCAACTGC